ACAAAATGGAGCATATCACAGTACTGTCATTTGGACCATTGACAGTTAAACCAATGTCACGCCTAAGCCACAGGCGACGCAGGTACCCGAAGGCTCCTCTGATCATGCCAGTCCGGGACTAGTACAGCTGTCCAGGTAAACAAATTTGTCTACTACCTCAGTCGGTTCATTCGCGAGCTTCGAACGCACTCAGTCATGCAGTAGCACAATTTGCGGGTGTAAAGCGCATGCCGAACCGTTAGACAGGTTTATTGTTGGTAATACGAATGAGTCAGACCCAAGAAGACCTATACTGTCTGAATAATCGATGTCTGTGAGCGAACTCCCGGGAGCACTTCGACCCCACAGGCAGTAGAGGCTGATAGTGAGTGCAGTGATACAGATGAAAGGAGAAGGTGAAAGAAGGCAGCCTTTCCTGACCCCACTCAGTATGGGGAACTCAGGAGTGAGCTTCCCGCAGACCTCCACATACCTGGGGGAGCTGGCGTACAGCGCCTTAAGGGGAGTCATGAATATATGGGGGAAACCCTTGTTCTACAGACGTTGCCATGGTGCCTGACGGTTCACAGAGTCAAAGGCTGCTTTCAAATCGTGAAACACAACCACGGTTGGTTGATGTAAGCAGTGTCGCTGTTCCAGAATCTGTCGGAATGTTGAAATGACTGACGTGTCCCTCTGCAGGACGGAACTCGGCTTGGTTTTCACTCTGCTGTCTCTCCTTCTGTTCAATCAATATCCGAAGGATAAGGCTAGAGGTCACCTTTTATGCCACAGGCAACAGGGCCAAACATTGTTCGTGTACCTCCTTTGAAGACAGGAATTACTGTGCCTCACGCAAATGAGCTTTCTCTCGTTTTGTTTAAAGAACTGGATGTGGACCGTTGTTTTTGGTGCTTTCTCACGTTTCAGTAAAGATATTTCATACCTTATTTCCTCCTCCGGCGATCGACTAAGGTTTCCATTCTATTCACCTGCTACGGGAGGCCAGACAGACCGCTGACATGCTTCTTGCAGGCACTTATTCCTCGTCCCATATAGCACCAATAAGCTTTGTCGAGTGGGTCACCAGGGATTTTCCGCCTTCTTTCACGAGGGCTAGATACAGACCGTCCGGTCCTAGTGCCTTCCCACGTTTCAGTAGGGGTATTTCGTACCTTATTCCGTCTTCCAACGGGCGATTTAGGTTTACATTCCATTCGCCCATAGGCCAGCTGAACTGCTCTTCGAAATGTTCAGCCCATCTTTCCAGTCAACGTTTTTGCGAGTGAATTAATGAGCCATCTTTTCACTTATCGTTTCGCTGACCGTTGCTTTCCTAGGGCCAGTCGATCGTATCAGTTGATAAAGGACACGGCTGTTTCCCGTAGCAAAAGCCTTCTCCATCTCCCGAGCTTTCGATGTCCACCAGAGCTCTCGTTCTTTCCTTAGACTCTTCACTATTTGGCGTTTGAGGGATTTGCGTGCGCCGTCGTACTCGTTGCCTGCTGGTATGGCTTTCCTGGCATCAATCATGGATAACGACCTCGACGACATCCAGTGGTCCTGTGGTCGAATTGGAGAAGTCGGGCAGGCAGCACTGAACGCCGCTAGTATAGCTCCTTTCACATTTTGCCACGCTTCATCCACATGTTCACTGCCACCACAGTATTGTTTTACTGTGGAGAGTTGTTGGGCTAGCTCAGATCGAAGATAGTGGATTGGCACGTTTCTTGCCGACTTGCGAGGGCCTGAAGGGAAACGAACTGTCAAGCGTGCGCGCACCATGGCGTGATCGGAATCAACTGGTGTGCCCCAGAAGGAACTGCAGTCTTGAATTGTGGCCCTCCACCGGTGACTGATGGCCACGTGATCCGACTGGGTCCATCGTTGATTTGCAGTTGGTGGCCGCCAGCTCAAGCGATACGAACGTTTATTTTGAACATTCACTGGTCAGAAACAGTTCATGATCACCACACACTTGGAAGAGTCGCTCTGTGTTTTCCGTCCGATGAGCATCGATTCCGCTCAAATGTGATTCCCAGAAGCTCAGACGACCGATTTTTACATTCATGTCATCCGCTCGATGATTTAGCGCGGACTGCTCTCGGCAGAAAGTATCCTTCTCCGCTTCAGAACTTTAATCCATTGGGAAGTGAACCGACACTACAAACAAGCATCGTTTTCTTTTGTGTCCATTGGCATCGAGCTGGATAATCTAACGGTGCGAAAAGACAACTGTTTACTGGCATTCAATCCACAAAAGCGTGTCCAGCTCTGGAGCAGCTCAGTGCAATCCCCCACACCACGCATTCAGCGAGCCATGACTTCTGGATCACACGGAAGGCGAAGTGTGAAAGATCTGAGTTCGTTCTTGGCGTCTTTTTAGGTGCATAATCACGCTTGGGTCTCGGAAACGCAGCATACACCCAATTCAAGGGAATAGAAGGTTACAACGAGCATTGCCTATTTTCCAATTGGGAGGGCGCGGAGTTTTGTTTGAGTACCCTCCTTCTAGTCTCTGATTCAGATGTTTGACCCGTGAGTCAGCGTGGGGAACCTTTCCGGAGCCGATGACTCAATAGCCCAAGCTGCTCGGCTACAGGGAGTTGGTCTAATCCGACGGCGCAAAAAGTAAGGCATTAACGCCCCACTTTTACCAGTCATCGCCTCTGGATTTCAGTTGGCGCTTTACGACAATAGAGTTTTCTTTGGGAGCCCTCCGATGAAGCACTAGTTTGACCTGTTCTGTCACAGAGGCGGTATGACCCGAGGACGCAGGGAGTGAGTCATCATTGTCTTACGTCCAGTGAACAGTACCATACTATTTGGTCTTATGAGTCTCAAGACCGTACTGAGCAATGCGCCAGCGGTCGCGGGCAAGCGTTTGACGATCGGAGTGTTCTGGCTGACCCGTCCTTCCTCGAAGGAGTGCAGTGTGGCTGCTTCCACAAATACGGACATTCTGTTGACCTGGAGTGAAGGGCAGTACGACGTTAACTCCAGACCGCCTCGTAATAGGATTACTCGCAGTACGATGACTCGCTGTTCCGCATCGGACTACCCCCCCCGTTGACCTTTCTGGCATGGCTGAAATCCAGTTTGTGTAGCGTGCCACAACCAGCTGACAGCTCGAAGTCGGATGAGGAGCTTCTACCGGGAGCAAAATCCGGCTGGTAGAGAAACAGCTTCCCTGAAAATATCGACAAAAATCTCCCCAAATTCGCCTCCACTTGAACGAGCAATTGTTGGAACGTGCTATCCATTTCAACTGAACAGCGAAAAACGATGTTTGCTTATCTTCCGATGATGCTTTCCTATTTCAAAGGACACCGAAATACGTCCAAAGAGAATGCACAAACCCGGTGAACCTGATGATCAACAAACTACTCAGTAGTATCTACTCATGGTGTTATTGTTGCGTTCCGATCGAGTCGTTTGCCCATCCTTTGCGCTTGACTAGAACGAGAGGCTATTCGTGCTGTCAAATTCCATTCCTCTACCTCATTCGCTCCTTCCTATTGTTCACTTTAAGGCTTTAAATGCAATCAACTAAAATTTTTGGTTGTGCGGCAGTGAAGCATCGGTGTCAACACTAATACAATAGTAGTAATAATAATTAGCGAAATACACTCATTTGCAAATTAATTTGTTTTTTTTCGACATACACGCTCGGAACCCAGCTGAATCTCTCGTTTGTGATGTTTCCAGGCAGCTGAATGTGCTGCACCAGGCCGTCTCATGTTTCATTTGGTACGATATTCGAGATATCGCGGTATATGTATATTCGTAATGCACTACTCATAAGGTTGCTGAAAATTCTTCGACAGTCCACGACCGGTTTTGCCCTTGTTGGGGCTCATCAGGTAGGCGCAGCCCCCGGGTTTCCGTCAACCATATGTTTTATTTGAAACCAAATTGAATGAAATTAGCGAACTACAATCTCCACTACTCGCATTTGCGACTTTTGTTATCAACCCAGTTGCCGGCCACGGGATGATATCACTAGGATTTCCAAACTGAGGTCGTTCGAGGTGCGCAAAACACCCGCTCGGTAGGCGAGACATGCGAGTGACTCCCCAGGCGTGTCGTCTGTCAAACACCGTCGGCTTTCCTACGAAATCAGCACCACACTCCTTTTGGTATCCAGACAAAATCAGCCTTCTGAGTAGGTGAGCGCAAGGTCGGCGTCCAGATGAACCGGATCACACTGTGAGCGAAATGGCCAACAACCGACATACTGGAAGAAAAAATCACACTGTACCACGATACCGTAGTCCAGCCTTTCCCAGGCCTTGTCTAATTAGAATCACGCCACGCCAATTATCATCCACTGGTCTTTTTAAATAACGAGACTAATAATTATCAGGTTCGCATCTGATAAGAATATCGGATAATTGAGACAAGACTATTTGTAGCTTTGCAAATCATGGGAATATTTTTATAAGAAAAAAACTAACCAGACCAGTACTGTTCTGTTTCAATTGCCATTGGAATGCTCAACTGATCCCGAGGCTCCGCGGGACATAGATACACACAGAAATACCTCGTAGATAGATGCACAAATCAGCGGTTTGAAGTGAAGTATGAGAGAATATTTGTGTGTGAGAGAGAAAAAACTAACTTGTTCGTTTGTACTCTAATAGGCTGGGGAAGGCTGGACAAAAGTGTGATATGTCACGTGACTCATTAGGAGTTTAACATTTCGACAAATATGCTCATTTGCATAGCAATTTGGTTTTTATGGGAGACTTAGCTGAATCTGTCGTTTGTGATTTTTCCGTTCAACTGAATCGGCTACCACATTTGTGCCGCTAGACGGATTTTGTGAGATGCCCCCGACTGAGAATCAGGTCATTCCGAGCCTGATAGATCATGAGCTCACGGTGCATCAGTTTCATCTCTGTCGGGGCACGTTACGGAAGGATAAACAAATAGAAAAACCCCTGGCGCCAAACCATTCGGAAACGTTTGTTCTGCAAAGGGTGACAGTGCCCCTTTCATACCTAGATTTCAGGGAAGAGCTATTCATGCCGGCGGTCCAAGGGTACAAAGACTGTCGAAACATAAAATTCCACAGAGCTGAGCGTGGATGGTCGCTCTAGGGAGCTGAACACGGTCTCTGCCCGGTCTTTATTGACCATCGAATGCTGTTGTGATCCACCGGTCACACTCGTTGGAAGGGTGCTTCTGGTGTGCCCACGGCCATGCTGTGTGTGTCTGTTGAACGATGCGCATTTTGAATAGCTGAAACCAAGTGTAAAAAAGGTGACTTATGGTGTCTGTCCCCAGTACTTTTACGGGCAGTGCGGTTGGGCAAAGAAATATCTCGTGATGTCTCATGTTATGATGTCATGTTATCAAGCAGGCTCAGTTGAAGAGCATCACACGATGTTTATCCGATTAAAACCAGGTCAGTTTGCAAGGGACTGTAGTTCGCGTACAGTTGGGGTTCAAGTAGAAAAAACATAATGTGGGGATGGGATTTTGGAAGCTGTGTCAACCTGATGAGCCCCACGGAAGTGTAAAACCAGTCATCACCAGTCGGAGTTTTGACAAACCTATGTTTTATTCTATCGAGAAAAAGGCACACACCGCTTGCAAGGACCGAGTGTCACGCAGCTTCGAAAGGTAGACTGCTCTGTTTTCTAGGAACTTGTGTGGCAACATAAAGTGCTTTACGTGAGTGAGATGACGGTGGGACTATAATGTTTCAGCGATGCCGTGGCATCATTGTCATCACCTGAGACGGTAACATTAGTGTAGTGTTCGTAATGCATGACGGGAAGGAATACTGTCCATTGAGAAAGACTGGACAGCACAATGATTGGGCATACAACTCTCTGTTTCCGTTCATCCATCTCACGTCACGAGTTGGCGCTCATCCGCTGTCGTGGGATTAAACACGCAGGAAACACAATCAAATTCCCGTGTTGCTACTTTTTGGTCTGTTCCAGTTCCATCCGATAATAATGCATCGGTTGGTACTTTGATGATGGCTACATACTCCAGGTAGCTCATTGGTTGAGGCGCCAACTTGCGGATCTGAAGGCCGGTGGTCTGAATCCAATCTCTGTATCCTGACTGCAGCCCTGTGCTTCCTCCGGGTGGTAGGGTAGCTGAGCATCAAAATGTTGTTACAGCTGAATGATATGACCAGGATTGTGTCGGATCATGTGGTGTCAAGGTAAGTCTGAACACTTGTGGGGAAAGCCAGAAATATATGACACCATTTGAAGCGCACTTCATACTCTATCAGACCTGTTAATCTTCGTTAACCGTCGGTACAACCATTCAGCTCGATGTGGCTGGGGCCGAGATGGCTCAAGTGGTTAGAGCGCGAAGTTACTGACCGGAAGGTTCGTGGTTCGAACCCAAACTCCGCCTCTGGACATCCTCTGTCTAGGCTTGGGCGACCTGGCAGTATCCCAGCCCTCGTGTTTCCTTCGGGTGGCATAGTTCCTTCGGGGGCATAGCAGCTAGGCCCCGAACAGATGTTACAGATGAGTCGTTTTTCACAGCCATTAGTTCAGTATTCCATCCGTATCCATGTGAATAAATTCTGTTTCTGCTGGTGGTCGAGCCTTTGTCCCGCCATGGGATCCTAACGGCTGTTTATACAAGGAAATTAAATACATCCAAATACGTTCAAGTCTTTGTGGGATGGAGATGGTCGTTTTATATTACTATGTAGTAGGGCGTTCAGCTGTAGTACCCGTTCCGTGCCTAACTGCCATGCCACTCGAATGAAACACGATGGTCGAGATACTACCAGATTGCCAAAACCTATGCAGTGAAAGTTGAGATGTAGAGGTCGGGTTCGAACCAGGGACCTTCTGGTCAGTAAATTCGTGCTCTCACTGCTGATTCACCTCACCCCCATGGAAGAATAGGCGTTGGAAAAGTACATTTTAGACGGTCTGGTGTGAGGTGTAGAATCACTATTTTTGTTCATCAGACTTTAAGCGAAGTTCTCTCCTCAGTGCTATCAGTCAGTTTAACGTGATCCATCGAGCGCCTACCAAGCACGAACCCAGTGAATATCTTCTTTGTTGCGGGTTACCGTACACTCAGTTAGCCGGCCAAATCAATCCCCGTTTTCGGAACACTTGAATTCACCTGATCTGCACAATCGTTTTGGGTAGCAGGTCAACATGGAGAATCGATAGATCGTTGGGATAGCTATTTATCTGGTCTACATTACCAAAGCATTTGTCAGTGGGTATAACTGGAAATTTTCACGCCTTTCTTGCGCCTAGGCTTGCCCATAAATTCACAAAACTTCACTGATGTAGCGATGAATTCGGACGAGGAACATGCGTTCCAAAGTGAACTGGGCAGGCAATGCCCTACTGGGTATACAAACCAACGGCACCCTGAGTAATCAGTCGTAAGAATAAACAACTGTGGATTGAAAGCTACCACAGCGACAAGAGCAGCGTTTATCTTTGATTAACCCGGACCGACAAGGGCACGCCTACATGCACATTGATATTTTTTTCGTATAGCATATCACTGACCAAAAAAATTCATCGATCGCTTTCGCGGCTCCGGGTTGAGTAGTACTCACATACCAGCCAGAGTGTTTCTGTCCCGCCCCATGTTGGGTAGTTGATGGTTGAAATGTTGTTCTCGATACTGCAGTTGAAGTCGAATGGGTTTGAGCAATATGGACAGTAACTTGCGGACGAGTTTAGCAATTTCGCAGCAAACGTCTCGTCAACGGTTGCCTTGACATCACCCGCGCGTAATGGTGTAGCCATCAGTCGCGGTCCAGCGGTTGAGTAGTGGAAGAGCTTACATACACGGCGTTTTCGCTAGCTGGTGACTGGGCTTTGGTTACGGTTTGTAGTTCGGACGATTCATCCAGTCAGTTGACTGATAGCAATTTCCCGCGGCTTCATAATTTGCCTTGATTTCTGTGGTCCATGACCCCTGTTGCCAGCCATTCCGTCCGCGTGATATTCAAAGTTTTCTGTCTATTTAAATTCTTCCCTCGTTCCTGTGGTTGTTGTTGTTGAGGGAAGGGGGTAAGTCAGATGAAACACGGTTTAAAAGTGGGTGCTTTTTTCTTGTCTACTTCTCAACTCGATTGTGTTCCAGCATTCTCACTCGTCTTGAACAGACCCTGCTTACAGTTCATCGGAGACTTACTGTGATGGATCACTTCCGTGTTCTTCTGGTTAGTGCACATGCTTCACATGTCCCGTTGTTATTTTATGTACAGGTGTCTTCAAAGTCAGTGGCAGGTTTGCTATCGTTATCATCATCATCATCATCATCATCATCATCATCATCATCATCATCATCATCATCATCATCATCATCGTCA